ATGACTCTCTGGGTGCGACCCTCTAGCCAATTTGCCACCCACTGTACTGTGTAGTCATCCAAGTCACAGCCTCTTAACTTGTTCACCAGTATGGGGTGGGATACCGTATCGAAGGCCTTCCTGAAGTCTAAGTATACGACATCCACCCCTCCTCCTGTGTCCAGGCATTTCATAACCTGGTCATAAAAAGAAAGTAGATTGGTCAGGCACGATCTGCCTGCCATGAACCCGTGCTGGTTTCCCCTCAGCATAATTTGTCCTGCCGGGCTCTCACAAATGTGAGCCTTGATAATTTTTTCAAAGACTTTGCCAAGGATGGAGGTGAGACTGACTGGCCTATAGTTGCCCGGGTCCTCCTTCCTCCCCTTTTTGAAAATGGGGACCACGTTGGCCCTTTTCCAGTCCTCCGGGACTTGGCCCGTGCGCCATGAGCTTTCAAATATTCCCGCCAGTGGCTCTGCAATGATGTCGGCCAGTGCCTTCAGTACCCTCGGATGGAGCTCATCCGGGCCTGCCGACTTAAAGGCATCCAGTTCTTCCAAATGACTCTGCACCATCTCAGGGTCTACGCATGGTAGTCTGACGCCTTGCTGCTGCCTCTCTACAACCCCAGTGAGAGACTTGTCCCTAGAGACTTGTCCTATTCTAGGGTGCTGAAGGGTATGTTTTATACCACCCCAGTATGGCTCTAGGGAACATCATACAAATACTTTGGGCCTTCTTTATGAAAACTGCCAAATGAACCCAAGTAGCATAGTTGGCTTAGTGTAGCACTGGGCACACATCAAGAAGCTCTCCTGAGAGGCAGGATTTCTCACTACAATACTTCCTCTTTAGGAGGTAATGTGCACAAAATGGGCATGACATGCCCCAACACAGCACTCCCTGATGCTGCTGTTATAATGCTTTAACTCTCCCTATGCTTTGTTGAAGCCTAGATGCCTAACACTGGATTATCAATCCCAGTTTGGGGGAGCCATGTACCTAAACATTAGTTGCTATTGTATGTAATTTTGGGCCATCTAAGTATTTCATTGGATCTAGTCCAGAAAATAATGGTGACACAAGTAGGTCCAGATCCTGTAAACAGCTAATCATATATAGAATTTTGAGCATGTGAGAAGTCCTTTTGAAATCAATTGGTGTATCTATATGTGACATCTACTGTGGAGCAGACTAATTAGCTCTGCAGTAAAACATTAGGGTCTGCAGATGCAGTGCTATTAGGATGGAGTAAATTAATAACTCCACCATAGAATAGCACTGCCAGACACAAGTACTTTCCTATGGTGGAGTTTATTCCACTGCAACACATGTGTAGATGCAACATGTGTAGACAGGGCTAGCTGCAGCATGAGGGTACTTCAGTGCAGGGGCTGCCTGTCAGCTAGCCCCACACTGAAGCACCCTCATGCCTCAGTCAGCACCTCCGCAGCACAGTGGGCCAGGGTGGAGCAGCCCCAGGCTGGCAGGTTGGCCCCCAGGACCCCCTGCCAGCCAGGGCTTCTCCGCCCAGGCTCAACATGCTGCAGTCCCAGGCACACACATAAATGCTGTGCCTGGGAGCAATAAACTCCTGCATGAAGTACGCTGGAGTTTTTTCAGTCACCTTAATAGCACATGTAGATGTGCCAAATGGGATTATTTTAATGAGTAAAATCCAATACACATGCTTAAATATTTCCTGCACCTGCTAAAATCTTTCCTGGGAGTTTATTGTCTTTTTCTACTTGCAAAATGGTTATGTAAAGAATTCTCTTGCATTTACTTACCATTCAGAATTATTCAGTGATTTTTTTTTTCAGGTTTTCCCTCCATGGATTGATTGTGAATGGTTTGTTTCTGTATGTGTATATATAGGGGAAAAGGAAGATTACAAATTATAATGAATTATGACTTTCTACTCCAGTTTTTCACTCAGTGACAAAAGAATGTATTTGCAGTTTATCAATCCCATCCCTTTCTTACCACACACACATTCAAATATGGGTGTGAATATACATGTGTGGATCTAGGATTTTGAAAAGGGTACAGGTGCAGGTGGTGTGGTGTGGTGCATCACAATAACACAATACACATTTTTCTCAAAGAAACTCAAGGCTTTAGTAATTTGCTAGGGGCCTAGGGCTATTTTATTCAATTTACGATGAAAGTAAAAACAAATATAACTTTATAGGAATGTGCATTGGTTTGCTATTGCTTATAATATATATAAAACACAACAAACTAGATAAAAACATAATCAAAAGATGTTTTTCCTTTAGTCGTATTGACATTAGAATTAAATGTACATCTCTTTCAGTTTCATAAAACAAATTTAAACCTGTTTGAGCATCTCTGATGTGCATCCAATGCTTCACTTGAAGTTATTTTCACACCTGAATTGACATTTACTTGAGTCAAGTTTCCACACCTAAGTTGATGCTTTTAGCAAGAGTTAAAAACATCCTGCAGGGCTGTGAAACAGGAGTTGCATTAAAAGGAGCAGCTAATATCAGAAGGGCAGAAGAAAGAGTTGCTTGATTAGTGGAACATCAAAACTATTAAAACAAGAGAGAGGGTCATTAACACCTCTCCTGTCGGACAAAGAGTGTAGAAGGAATTGGGTAGATTACAGTGAGCCATGAAATCAAATGATTCCCTCGTTGCCTGAAAGAAATGCTGTTGCCATTGCTAGCAATTGGTTTTAAACTTTGGGTGGATCAGGAGTCAAAAAGCTGTACAACTGCATCCCTCTGCCCCTGCCCCTGTGTACACACTGATCACATTCTTATTTCTGTCTAAATCTCTTAATTTAAAACAGTGGGTTTATTTACAGCTTGTATCACCCTGAACTGTACTGGGGAGCTAAGGGTTGTATTACCATAGCAGAGGTGCCTAATGATTTTGTCTTTGCATGACATTTAAATCTCTGGGGAAACATGAATAGAGATTTCCCTTGTACAACCATACGAACAAGTTTAGCCAGCACTTACTCCAATATGTCAACATAGGAGGGAGGAATCATGATCATACTCTTGCTTCACTCACCCTTATTACAAATAGCACTTCTGATAGTGCTAGCCATAGCCAGCTACCTCTGCAGTGCCTGGAGCCATCCAGACTATGCTTTGCACCAGGACAAATGCACAAAATGGAGAATGGAAGAGCTCCCAACACATCTCTTCTGCTTCATGTATTCCCAACCAGAGGAACATGAAGCTAAGCCCAGAACATCAGGATGATTCCCTTCTTGTTGCCTTAACACAATTCCTGAATACATTTTAATGAAAAAGGCTTTTTCCCAGCATGCAGCCTTAAATTTGATTTTCAACACTTAGTTCACAGCTTAATCCAAAATCTTAAGTGTAAATCCTGACAGTAGATCACATCAGTTAATAATATAATAGTGGGCCTTCGGATTTACACTTCTTTCCTTAGTTGTAATGAATTATTTTCTTTTTAAGATTAATACATTCTTCCCAGAATCAGCCTAGGAAAAAACTGGGTTGGAGTTCTTTTTGGATTCTGAATTTCTTTGACCCATTATCTTTTAATTGTGGCTCACTTTGGTACTTTTGAAGAGTGATGATTTTAATGAGCTTTATCATAAGAGATCTAGATTTGTAGTTTTGTAATTTCAGTGCATCCTGTGGGAGGCTGAGCTCCTTCTGCTTCCACTGATTTCAAAGGGAACCAAAAGCACTCAAAACCTTACAGAATTCAACTCTACCTTTTCAAAATAGTGCAGCATAATAGAGTTCCCTTCTCCGCACACCCTTTACTGGGAAGGCCTTTCATTCTTACGTGAAGGGTGGGAGGAGTAAAGATTACAAGAATTTTTATTGCTGAGACCAACCCAACCCATGTATGAACAGCTGGTTTTGAAATACATCATAGAAACTGATTCACGCACACAATAGGTTCAGGAAAGGTTACAAAGAGTTTCTAAATTGGCTTTCAAGGTGGATGTTGTGTGGAAACTGAGACCAAGGAAAGACACTGGATTTAACAAACTGAAACAGTTTTTTATTAGATTTAACTACCCCTTTTGCTTAGTACCTTCTATGTTATTATGTTGTTTCTGATTGAGTTATTAGGTTGTTTTTGATTAAGTTTTTAGGAAAGGTCAGGAGGAAGATGGTAATTTTGAGTTGCATCTAAAAGCAGATGGCAACATCTTTATTCTCAGCCCTTGAAGATGCAGAGGGCACATGGGAATAGGACAGAAGACTGACCCATGGGAAGAGAACAATTTCCCTTCATCCTCAATCTTACAGTTCATCTTCTCAGGAATCCATGTAGATTAAGACTCTATCAACCATTGAGAAGAAACAACCATCTTTAGACATGGAAACCTATTTTACAAGCTTGTTCAGAGGCAGCTGTTGCTAGAAGTCATGTACTTCAAAGAAAAAAGGGGTGAGTACCAGCAGGCACGGGTGACAGGCAGTGCTGCAGCACAGCTCTGCATAAATTTCCCAGCTTCATTTGGACCCAGAGAAATCCATTCAGATTTTAAAAGGTCCCTGGGATTTGTATCTTTTCTTTATTCTGCTGGTAAACAAGAATTCTGCTGCCCACTCTGATAGAAAGGTTTGGGAGTGGAATCCATTAGGAGAACTTCCCTGGGTTTTTTTTCTCCCTATTTCCAACCAAAAATAGATCCTTCAGAAAGAGTTAATCAGGCCTCAAGGGCAGCAGAATGAAGCCTCTCTGTCTCCTTTCCCCCTTCCCTTTACTCACTATATATTCTTTAAACATTTCTTCACTTCCTTTCTCCCTCCATCTTTTTATTCCCTTCATTTTTCCATTTCACCTTCATTTCTACTTGTCATCTTGCATCTCCTCTGTTCATTCTCCCTTCCTTCACTGTTTGAGGTACATTAATATACATTTCATACATTTGGCAAAACAAAGAAACAGAACTTGTGGTAAGGGAGTGGGAGATGGGGGAAGAGCATATTTTAACAACCCTTGTGGCATCAGGACATTGACTTCTGTTGTTCCCCTGCTTTACTTGTGGCAGATTAGGGTGCTATACGCTGTGGTTGTATGATAGGGTTGACTGTACAGTTTTATGGAATAGTTTGCATAGGGAGTATCCTGCCTCAGGCAAGGGGCTAGATTAGGTCAGGGGTGTCAAACATAAAACCTGTGGGCTGGATCTGGTCCACGGACTCTCTCTTCTTCCCCTTCCCAGCTCAGATTCCAGAGTGGCTGCAATAGGCAGTGCGTGAAGTGCAGTCCAACTAGAGCAGTAGCTGTGCTGCATGTGGCCAGACTGCACCACACATGGTGCTCACTCCGGAACATGCATCACATGGCGCCTACGCCAGCCAGTCCAGGACCTGCACTACTTGTGGTGTTTGTAGGTGCCATATGCCTTACAGGTCCTGGACTGGCTGAAGTGGATGTCATGTACAGCCCAGTCTTGGATCTGTGGGGGAGGCTACTGTGTATGCATAGCAGCTGCTGCTCTGGTCAAAGTGTGCCTGTTCCAGCTATTCTGGGATCTGTACTGCAAGCATGGATCCTAGACTGGCTGGAGTAGTCACAGGATCAGGTATGCTGGTGGAGGGGCTGGGGAGGTGGGGTGGGGGGAGTTTTCGGGAGGGACCTCTGGAGATGATGTAGTCCCGGGGTGTCGAAATGATCCAGCCCTGTTTGACACCCCTGGACTACATCATCTCCAGAGGTCATGTAGTCCAGTCCTTCCAGTCCTACTTTTCTATAATTCTTTGATTCTAAGAATGAAGAAAAGCAACCAAGCTGCTTCTGCATGATGGACCAGAATTCTGCTGCAGATGGGTGAAGGAATGTTATAGACTGTCCTTATATAACATGCTAATTTTCAGTGTAGCTAATTCACTATGGGAGTTAAAAATATCTGTATCTGACTCTTTTCCTCTTACATTAGTTTTATACCAGTGCTACTTTACAGACTTCAGTACAGTAGCTCCTGATTTACAGCACTCTAACTGAAAGCAAAATGGGACCCTTTGTCTCCAAATTACTCCATGCAGAGAGTTTACACAATAATAAATGGTAAAAGGAAAAAAATCTAATATACTTTGAGAACACAATCTGGAAAAAGAAATAACAAATTGCAATAGAGGGAGATCTGGCACAGAACACTTTCCTCCATCATCTGTGCAAACTAAAATGAATGCACAGACTGAACATTAGTGCTACGTGACTTGGGGGAGAAAATATAGAGGTTAAGAAAGATCTGGGGTGGAAGGATGGATGGTGAGCATGTCCTGAGATCTGAATATACTGGACAGAAATCTCACAAAATAACTTTAATAATATAAGGAGAAAAATTACTCTTTGTCCTGCAGTCTCATATAGAACCTTGGAACATGTTTTTAGGGCATATTCATGGACCAATAAAACATCCCTTGTTGTATCTTAATGCTATAATAAAAGTATCAGCTTATGCATTCTTAGAGAGAAGTATGACCAAATCTTTGAAAACAGAATAAACTGTGTGCAAGTAGTTTAGCTGGAATAAAGTATAGCTGGAGTAGTTTATGAATGCCAACAAATACTTGATCCTTGCAAGCTACTTTAGCATTGCACTATATTCTTACCAGTGCTAATGCACTTTCTACAGTTCTGTGGCAAGAATTCTCCTCCCCGCTCTGAATGTATATATCAATAACAAAAGCCCAGCTTTATTTTTAAAAATTATATTGAAATATTATATAAAATTTCCACTGCAATAGGTATTTCAGTGAGAAAATAATATTTTTGGAGGGGATAATGAAGGCTGATGCATATCAGATTTAAAAAGTAAGACTGGATTCTGCTTGCACAAAAGCAATTGGAAAATTCCTGTATATTTCAATGGGATCAGGGTTCTAAAGTAATTCCGAATCAAATCTCAACCTTAGGTCTGTGTCTCTCTTCCATCCAAATCCTGCCATTTACAATCACTTATCTGTAACAGTACCATTACAATTCCCCTTTCTATATGCCAGTCTTCAGAGAGGCCATAATTTGCAATTAATACTGATTAAAGGTACTCGGTGCTTCTCAAGAAGTGTTGATATGTCTATTATTCCTACAGTACCATCACTGTAGCATACTGTGGTATGTTGATATGAAGGCTGAGATGCTCAAAGGTATTTAGAAGCTTAACTCCCATTGATACTGTTGAGGATTAGAGTCCAAATATACAATTAGGCGAAGCAGTATTTCATCCAAAAGGATAGCACTCTCCAGCTCTCCTCTCTATGATTTTGCCATTGCTTTCTAAGAGGGGATGTTCTCTCCTGTTTCTTTCTTTCTAAGTAAAGAGCTGTCAGCCATTTAATAATCTTCACTGCAAGAAGAAATGCTTGAACAGAGGTATCTTCCATTGTGCCTGAAAGTGTTGAGACAGGCTTATCCTGATCCCCAGGTTCACTCTAGACTGCATCAGCCACAGTGACCGTATTGATCAGAACTGTCAAGGTGGATTGGACAGAGTGAGAGAGAGACTTTAAATTATCTATCTGTCCCACTGGGAACTTGAAAAATTAGCACCAAAATTGTGAAGTGGATACAGAATTGGATGGGAGCCAGTCACTGATGTGATGTGTTCTTTTTTTTGGCCTGCCTTATCTACCAGATGGGGCATTACATGATGGATCAGCTGAATCTTAATCTATGCGATTGTACGGTTGGATAAATGAACTGCAGTAGGCCAGCCTTAGATGACACAGGTAAAGCACACCTGTTAGGGCAAG